GTATTTCAATACTATACTTCTTAAACTATGCAAACCACATTTAGATTGATTGGAAAAAAATTACGTTAAATAAAATATAAACAGAAATCAACAAATACTTTTCGGAAAAGTGAAATGAAGAGTCAAAATAGAGAACATGTTGGAGTTTATAAAAATTTTGACTCATTAAATTTAAATATGTTCTCTATAATACATAAGATACTTTTAAAATAGAGAGTCTTTCAAACTTATTTTCAAATATTGACTCTTTAAAATAAAATAAAATAAATTGTATTTGAAAAGATTTGTAGAGATGTTATAATCAAAATCACTCTCTATATTTAAATGCATTCAAAGCATTTCAATTTTCAATGAAAAAAATAATAATAGAATAATTTGGATGGAGGTTAGGGAAAATAAACGATAGTAAACAATAATAAATATTTTTTTAGAATAGTAAAATTGAGTGTTAAATATAAAGAGTTTGTTGAAGTGCTTAAAAAATTTTACTTTCTAAGTTTATATATACTCCCTAAATTATGAAATATTCTCTTAAAAAATAGAGTCTCTTGAAAATGATATTGGAATTAAACAAATTCAATTCAACATGGATTTGCACTATGAGAGTTATTTGCTTTAACCAATTCAAAAAACAAAGATTTCCCTTCTTCATAGTCATTTTGTTAGTTTTTTTAGTCTTTGTTTGGGGAAATTTATAAATAATATAAATTATAAATAAATAGAAATGGATGGTAGATAAGGGAATATTACTTTTGGGTCCATTTTAATGTGTAATTTGAAATGAATTTTGATCATTTATATAAAATATATGAATTTATTTTTAAGAAATTAAAGAAGGGAAAATAAATCTTTGTACAGATGACAAAGTAACAGGCACCCGTCTCTTGTATGTTTGGACCACACATATTTGTACAGAAGACAATTGTTATGTATTAACATGGGAGAACCCAAAGAAAAATAATAAACTGAAATTAAGGTAGCGCAAGCGTCATCTTGGCTGGGAGATTAAGGGGCATGCCTTCTTAGGTATATTAGGTTTCCCGCGAGAGTTTGAATCTTTCATATGGTAATTTGAAATAGTATTTTGATGAAAAGTGTATGGTTAAACAATAAGAAAAAGTTTCGTATTTGCATGTAATATTATTTTATTCAAAAATATGTAGTTGAAAAGAAGAAAAAGGCAAAATTATTTTGGACAAATATGGGAATCAAACGAGTATTTAACAATACCAATTTTGGTGAGAGCATTTGTGATGTTATATTACAATTTCAACTAAATACATAAATTTAAAATAATGTTATTTGCAGTCACTTACTATTACAGTCGCCCTACGTGATATACATGTGACGATTAATGATTTGATAAAAAAACGTTAACACATTAATATATCAAATCACTAACTGCCACATGTATGTCACGTATGGCGACTATGACATAGAGCGACTACAAATAGCGCATTACTCTAAATTTATGGCCGAATAGAATTTATTATATGTTAACAGTTAAGTGGTGTTCAACATTACTGATGTTAAATAAAATTATTCTTTCTTTTTCTTCCTTTGCTATTTGAAAAATTGAGAGAATTTTCAAAGTTCAAATAATCGTAGAATCTAATTTAGAGATTTGACAAGTAAAACGATACATACGGCACACATTGGTCCAATGCTATTACAAAGATTAGGTGTCCATTAATTATAACAACCATGCTATATGTACATTGTGTTTTACACCATTTTTTACATTGTGTCGGTTGACACCGTACTATTGGACTGCTAAAAAAAATAAACAATTTCTCTGCCAACCCGGATGAGTCAGAGATGATGTACACTTTTAACGTACAAATGACTTTTCCTAAGGCTAAAGATACTTATACACTAGAGTGTACACTTCGGGAGCCCCCTCTCATGTGAGGGGACTGTACACTAGAGTGTCATGTAGAAAATCTCTTTCCCTAATTATAAAGTCATAACAAGTGACGACTTCAACATTGGGAATAGTCTAATTTCATTTCCATGTGCAATTATAATACAGGTCAAGCAAAGATAATTTGTACTCGTCATTTTTTCAAAGAAAAATCATGAACCAATTTTTAACAAAATAATTCCAAATTCACGGTTTTCATTGATAGTCTCGTTTAAACAAGGACAAAGATAATATACATTTTAAAGGTAATATGTATCAATACTTAGTTTCAACAAAAATAAATAAATGTAATGGGAAAACATAAGTTCTTGTCTAAGAGGAGTTGTTTTTTGAAAAGTAGTTTCAACGTTGACCGTCAAATTTGAACCAAAATAATTTATTGAGACATTGACATTTGGCCATGATTTTTTCCATTCTTAAGACGAGAGAAATTTACAAGTCAATGCTTGCTTTAGCCTTCCATCATTGATTGGTCAACGCGTTCAAATACAGGACTCAGCTCAAAAATGATGTTGAGATAGCTAATTTCTAAATAAAATTCGCTTATAGAAATATTTTGAATTAAACTAACATATTACTTTTTTTCCGACATAAGCGAAACTGCCCTAACTGTGGTCGTAGATACGTACGTGTTGAAGGGAATTGTTGTTTGTATAGGCCGAGCTCGAACTACAGCCCCCTCACAAGTGGGGGGACCCGCAAATTTTTTTATTGCACGTGGATCCCCCGAGCTGTGAGAGAGTTGTAAACGGTGCTGTGTGCACAACACCACCCCGTGTTGAAATCCATTCAGCATGACTTGATCATGTTATGATACAATGCGTTTAGGATGAATTCAAGAATATTTGGGGATTAATCTCAACAGGGGTCTAAGTTCGACAATTTTAAGTGAATTATAGCTTAAAAGTTCTAGCTCAGCCTATCCTTTTAACTTGGTTGAATTTGGGAAAATTATGTTGTAACAATTCTTTTAATCTCAAAAAGTGAAACATCATGGAAATGTGATAATTTATGAAAAATTGGGTAACAGTTACTTAGCTCCATTTTGGGTCAAAATGTATTTTAAAATAGTATTTTGTTGGAGAATGTAGAGTTAAAAAATGAGGAAAACTTTTGAATTTACATGAAAAATTATTTTATAGAAGAATGTGTGATTAAAAATAAATTTTTGAAAAAATGGGGGTCAAATATAGTTAATATGTTGATATGGGTTAATTATAGTAACAGTCCCTGAAGTTTTCCCTTAATTTCGAAATGATCATTAAAGTTAATTACTTAGAATAATGGTTACTCCAATTTGCAAACTGTTTCAAAAATGCTCACTCGTCGAACATCGATTTTGTGTTCGATGCTCAATATATTTAACCCAATTAATTTTCTTAAAATTTATAATTTCTTGTAATTTTTTACCTATTCAATTTAAAATATTTATATTTTATATTAAGATTTTTTTTCTTTTTTTATTTTCTTCTTCGTGTCTCCCCTCAGTCTTGGGAGAAATTCTCATTTTCCATATACAAAAAACAAAGTGAGGAAAATTAAAAAAATTATAAAATTTTTTTTTTTTTTTTCTTTTTTTTTTTTTTTTTTTTTTTTTTTGGGGGGTGGGGGGGGGGGGGATTTATAAAAATTGACAGGCAAGATTTATAATTGAAATAGTTGTTCACTCCAATATCATGTTTGTTGATGTCCAAAGTAGATCTGAACAACAAAATCGTCAAATCGTCAAATCTAACAGATATCGCTTTTTGAAATTGTTGGTTCGGATTCATGTGAATCCGTCAACATCTTGATTTTGGACCAAACCATATCTCTTCAAAGTGACTTAATTTAGATATCAAACTTTACAAACCGTTTCAAACTATCAAATCATTTACAAATAAATTAATTTAAATTTTATCAAATCCAGTTTAAATTAAGCACATTAAAGTTAAAAAGATACATTCATATTAGCATAATTCTATTAAACTTAATGCCTAAATAAATAATTATCCATCCCATTAATTTGTACACAGATACCTGTTGGTCATCACAATTGTAATTGCAAAACTCTCAAATTGAGTGAAGTATTGAACAACTACTGGTAAAGTATATTCATCGACCTTACACTATAATTAAGTAAACAATTATATCTAGATTTTAATTCAAACTCATACATTTCTTTTCCTTTCACTGATAATATTCTCAAACCTTGGCTAAATTTTCACAGTTATCCAAATTTTCTTAGATTTTGGTAATTGTTTGCTATTTTATTTTTTATGTTTGTTCCTTCAATTTCTAGCAGACAACTTTTTTGTTTATTTGCAACTCAATCCAGTCAAATCACTTAGTTAAGTATTTATATTTTAACTTAATTTCTATATTTTACTAATAATTGCTAGAATAATTTAGTTGATTACTTAAATGGTTGTTTTGTAGAATTTGACCAGCAAGAGCTTTCGATATATTACTTTGGTGAAAATTAAATTCAAATAAATACAAAGATTATCTCTCAAATTGCTAAACATGTACTAACTATTCAAATATCCACAATTATTTTTGAATCTATATTTTCTCCTAGTGATCAAATTCTTGATTTTTAGATGTTTGTTCAATATAAATATGATTGAGGTTGTGATTTAATTAATCAGTATTTGGATGAAATAGAAG